GCTGGTCTGTCTCTGTTGTTTTCTGTGTTTGAAACTAAGTCAGGTGAACAAACTGCCACTCACTGATGTGGCTGTAGCATCTGTAGTTGCAAGCTTCCACTTGGATCTACTCATACTGGCTTTCACCAGTGAAATAAAAAGCAGTTTCAGTATCACCTCAAAATTAGTCTCTTTGTGCAGTTGTTAAATTTTTTAAACTCTTAATGTGCCTCTCTGTGTCCTTTAGATAACGTACAAAGGGAAGGAATCTATATTTGATATTGGACTTTTTTAGCATGGCCATGTCCTGAGAGAAAGCAAAGTAACTGGCAGAGCATCTCTAATTACTATTTCAAAATTATACTTTTTAAATTTTGTGTTGCACTGACAAGGGCAGCACATTATACTATGTACAGACAATACCTGAGATGGAGCTTAATGACAAAGAACAAAACAGGTAGCAAAACAGAATAAAAAGTATGGATAAATTACAAATCTAACTCTTACTGAAGTGTTTGAAATGGCACAAGCCTGGAACTCTTCTGGTGTATTTAAAACCAAATTCCTTGAGAGCTTACAATCAAGTGAATTTGGTTGTTTTCTTTTCCAAATGGTTCTCGTATCTTAGAACAGTAACATATTCCAGTAACTATGATGCTTGGGTCTGCTGCCAAGTTTTTTTCTGAATTAGTTCAGATCCAGAGCAAACTATCTTTGGTGACTTCACTTTAAATGCAAAGATCCAAAACTACTGTTTGTCTAGTTGCATAAACAAGCACTAAGCCTTATAAAAACATGATGTGCATGCCAAGATGCTTAGAGGTTAGATAATATAGAAGTGTGAGGGTTTATTTGTCTAATTAAACTCCTTGGAGAAAGGAAGAGGGGGCATATGAATTACTATTTCATAGTAACCTTAGATGTGAAAGGCTGCTTCTAATATAAAGGTCTGGAATCTCAGAACAAATGGCCACCTGAAATTATTTCCAAGAACTACTTCTGGTTTTCTCTGTAACCCTGCCATGGGTTAGATGATGACTGCTCCTTTTCCAGCTTGTGTTTTCTCCTACTTAAAAAGCATGCTAAAAATCTGACCAAGATGAGATTCCAGGTGTATGTACACTGCAAGACAATATGAAGTACTGGACTGAGATACTCATAAAACTAATTTTCTTGTGGAGTACGTACCCTACACTAATTACTTCTGAATAGAGTCCCCTATATCTTAGGTAAGAGACTGAAAGACAGAATGGAGTTTTACACAAGATACTTAAAATACACAATTTATCTTCATCACTTTCCATGGATGTATCCAGGTATTATGTGTGAAAAAACTACCTGTTGCATTCTTCTTTTATTTAATTCAAGGTCTAGTCTCCCATCTGGTACTTGAAAACAAGGTTCAGCAAAGCTGCAGAAGAGCCTGTGACTTCCACATAAGATTTCTGTTTGATGTGCAATAAACTGCTCTTTTTCTGAGGAAAGGCCCTTTTCTACCATCACGGGATTTAATGGCATAGATGACACAGAAACTTTGATGAGAATCACAATCTTCCTGGCAGGATCCACAGGTCTGGAGCTTAGGGATGCTCACTCAGTTTGAATCCAGAAATACATTTCCTATTTTGTGCATCAGCTGAAAGCTGTATGAAATTCTCAAGAGAGAACAAGTGCAATTACCAAATTATTTGATTATGATGCTGAAAGTCAAAATGTATTTGAGGAATACATCCACCTCTACTAAGCTTGCTAGCCTCACCACAACATGCAAGGCTTTAAGATAAAACAAGTCCCTTAGACTATAAAGCTCAACAAAGTGTCAAGCTTCAAAAGAAAAGATTACATTTCTCAGACCGGGTCAGTCATTCCAGTGACTTGCGGCAGCAAGCAGTATTCTGGAATGCCCTCCATTCCCTGTTAGTGATGTTACAACTTTCAATAACATTGTTCTGGTGTCATGGATCTTCTCTGGAGTCTAGATGAAATTTAGAAAGTCAAAAGACTTCATATGCAATGACAGGAAAACATCAAGCACAGTGATGTAGTTTCAAAAATGGAGTAATGTCATGCACAGAACAGTCTGTTTGCATTGTGCAAAATAACAGACATATGTAAATAGCTTGCTTTGCATGAGCACATTTTTTAAAAAGAGAATAGACCCACTCCTACCTAGTATTTCAGAGACTAAAAAAATGTCCCAAAAATGGTAGTGTCTTTTTCTCTGCTCCAATGAAGCTAGAGGATATAATGCTCATGATGTTCATAAGCTTCCTGAAACTTCACATTGCCTTGGTGGCATACCTCCATCTGGAAATACCAGCCATCAGTCTGTCAAAGTAGGTGGTGACAGACTGAAACACTTGCAGTATTTGCAGGCAGCTCCTGCTCAAGAGGGAAGTCTCGCTGCTGCTCAAACCCTGCCTTCCTTGCGTTGTCCCCTCTCTCTCTCGAACAGCTCTTTCCCAACAAGCCACAACTGCTCCCCACAGCCAGAGCTGCTGCCCTACAGACCAGGCATGGCCGCTGAACAAGCTCCCTGCCGCCGAGGGCAGGTCGGCACCCCGGGCAGCGGCTGCTCTTTTGTAACAACAAGCTGCGATCACCCCCGCCATACGGCACGATTTTGTCAAACCCCGACGTCCTCTGCTGTTCCCGAGACACGGTGCGTCCGCGCCGTTGACGCTGGGAACGGCCTCTCTCCCCTCACGCGTGGCTTTTCTCTGATGACTGACCCGCAGCCGCCGACTTCTAGAGACCTCAGCGGACCTTCCCCTCGCAGGCTCGCGGCCC